TTTTGCATAGTTTGTTCTGTACGATTTTTCTGAAAATAAATTCCGTGTTCTAAGATATCGACAAGGTGTGTAAAAGTTTAATTGTGCGAGAATTTCTGCCGAATCTATGCGTATTGAAATAATGTCGTTGATGAAGAAAAGCATTGCAAATTGGCGGCGCTCCTTAAGTGTTTGTATATTGATGAGCATGCAGCGCGCTTCATAAGATGGTAACGGAAATGCAGTCCAATTCAATTTACGTAAAGCATATAAAAGGAATTGTTTTTGGACAGATTCTATGCGTTCTTCGTGTGTGGAAATGTATGGATTCCATACTAGGTGCCAGTATTCCAGAATTGGCCTTACATATGTGGTATATAATAGCTTAATAGTGTATGGGTCTTCGAAATTATGACTGAACCTTTTGATGAAGCCTAGCATTCTGTTTGCTTTACTAATGATAGTACATATTATAATGTTCTATAAAAATTAGTTTGGAGTCTAGGATTACACCTAAATCTCTTACAATTTTGCTTTTTTCTACTATTTGGTTGCCTAATGATATTTCAATATGCGGTGTTTCAATTTTTCTGCTAAATGCTATTGCAGTACATTTTTTTACTTTCAGTTGAAGTACCCAACTAACAATTTTCACAATGTAAACGCTTTACTCATTTCATTTATACAGTCTCAAGCTGTATTCAAACGTTATACGATATGAAGAAACCTTTACTCAACCTCTATACAAGCAAATCTGGCGAACTTACTCAGCTACTTATGGCTGTTGGAACGGTCGGGAGAAGCTCTTATTGCATATCCATTAACGCTTCTATACAGCTGTTATCCTGCTGTTTAGTTGTGTGTGAACTTGAAAGGCGCTTATTCAACCTTTTCCCGGTTATTCAATAATCACTACACAGCTTTCTCTTGAAGCCGGGTTAAATATTGTTTACGCTTTTTTATGAAGGAAGTTATTGAGTTTATTTTGCTGTAAATCAAATTAATCGAAATTAGTTACAAATCATCACCAAATTATTTACCCTGCACCGGAACCTGGAATCGAACTCGAGACGACCTCATTGGCAAACCTTGACACTACCAACTGTGCTACGCCAACACTTTGAACTTATGTAAACAAATCAACATTCCCTTCTACAACAAAATTGCTGAGTAGAGGCTTTATAATAGAGCACACGAATCACTTTTCTCGACTAGTTATAATAGAACAGAGTAAAAGCTGTAAAACTGCACACGTCTAAAAATAAACCTAGTTAACTGTGAAAATGCTTCCGAAGTTGCTCTAACACAGCTTATAAGCTGAGTACAGGTTGTTTAGTTGATGAAAAAGCACTTTTGATGTTTATGTTATTCAGCAAGAGTGGTTGGTTGTGTAGAAGCCATCAAATGAGTAATATATTCACTTTGTTAGCTTTGTTTTGCAGCTACAAGTGGAAAGTTGATTAGTGTGTGTATAGAAGTGACATTAGCGTTTATTGGCTGATGTTATTCAGTGCGACTGACAAATTGAATAATGGTTGTGAGAAAGTTGAGTAAACGTTCTCCAAAACTATTTTGCTAGCTTTTGCTTGTAGCTGTATATGTAGCTTCTTTTCAGCTACTTTACAGCACAATGCTGGAAAAGTTGGCTTACTAAGCTGAAAATGTTAGTTGGGTAGACTTTTACTACACCAGGTGTGGAATATATTGATTTCATTCTGGAATTCTTCTGCATCGCTAGAATTACTTATTTCCATAAAGAGCTTCATGTCGTCTGCATATACAAGCAATTTTTTTTTAAGTATGTAGGAAATGTCGGTTATGTACAAAATAAAAAGAAGTGGGCCTAAATGAGAACCCTGGGGTACCCCAGAGGTGACTGAAATTGGTTCTGAAAGTTTATTTTGAAAGCGAACTATTTGTTTACGATGTGTTAGGTATGATTGAAGCCAATTCAAAAGTCCAGGCTCCATTTCTATTTTCTGCAATTTGAGGATTAATAATGGTATGTCGATGCGGTCAAATGCTTTACTGAAGTCGGTGTATAGCGCTTCAACGTGCTTGCCACTGTCCAACGCTTTAATAATGAAAGATACATATTCTAGAAGATTAGAGGTAGTTGAGCGACCTTTAAAAAAGCCGTGCTGTTTACTTGTAATTAGATTTTTCACCTGCTGAAAAATATTGCCGTTTACGATTGATTCAAAAAGTTTTGGAATGCAAGAAATAATAGCAATTCCACGATAATTTCGAATGTCTGATTTTGCACCTGATTTGAAAATAGGTACCAAATAAGATGATTTCTAAATTTCAGGGAATTTTCCATTTTTCAGAGACATGTTGAAAAGACGCTCTAGAGGAAATGCGAGTTCTACAGAAAGGTTTTTCAAAAATATGGGTGCGATGCCGTCAGGTCCATACCCTTTCGACGCGTTTAAGTTTTTTAGTGCATTGAGGACGTTTATGTCTTCAAAAAAGTTGTTTATAACCATATTTGCTATAACTTTGCTCAAGACGTTAACCCTCTATCTCGACATTGTGAAAAAATAAACTTTTCATCTCACTTTTAGCGGGATTAATCACAAAATTCATATCTTCCAAAGATGCAATATGTCATACCCATCAACTTTACTGAAGGCGTCATTACTCTAAATCCACTCTCCAGGGTGCTATTAATTAAGAGCGTCACAGAAGTTCAAATTAACATGACGAACAGTAATCACGGTTGACTCGTTACATTCCGAACATTTCGTTTAAAATGAACAGGTCTAATATATATATATATATATATATATATATACATATATTTATATATATATATATTTATATATATATATATATATAAATATATATATATATATATATATATATATACATATATATATATATATATATATACACACACACACACACACACAAACACACACACACACACATACACACACACACACACAGACACACACACACACACACACACACACACACACGCACACACACACACACACAGGCACACACACACAGGTACACACACACAGGCACACACACACACAGGCACACACACGCACACACACACCCATGCGCACACACACACACACACACACACACACACACATACACACACACACACACACACACAGACACACACAGGGACACACACACAGGCGCACACACACACACACACACACACACACACACACACACACACACACACACACACACACACACACACACACACACCCATGCGCACACACACACACACACACACACACACACACACACACACACACACACACACACACACACACACACACACACACACATACACACACACACACACACACACACACACACACACACACACACACACACATACACACACACACACACTTCCGTTTTGGCCTTTCATACTTTTATAGGGTTGCATGGTATGATCTTGCCATTTGCAGGAACCGTACGTCATGGAAGGTCTTGCACTGGTGGTGGTTTCTCATTACATATATACATACATGGCGTTTCATCATTTGAATTAAGTCATAGATTGCATGCTTTTCATTTTAATTGTGAGTTCAAAGTTACTGCGGAAAATTACAATACATTGTATTTATTGTTGTCGCATTCAATTCAACTTAATCAAGGACGTTTCTCCTGGTAAATTGTGTTCCTACTTATTATCCGTGATTCTGCGTAAATGTAATGTGATTTAAATTGATCTACCCCGGATCCATATTGTGGCACAATTCATAATTTACTTAGTTCTATTTGGAAGTTCTCGAGAGAATGTTGCTCAAAAAAGTCAAATTTCTGTTGAGTTTAGTGTTTCTATTGGTAATTATAATCCACATATTGACCACCCGTTCACATTTGTTCACTATCATTTCAAATTTCAGAACCATGTGGCTGCTCAGTATGACTACGGAGACTACAATACAGCAACTGCAAGCCCTGCGTATCCAAGCTATCCAGATTATAATACCGGCACGGATATAAATTATCCCGGCACGGATTATCAAACGATCGGAACACCAGACTACAACTACGTGAACCCTACCACAGGAGTAAATGGTGGCGTTGATCCTGGCCTGTATCCCAATTATGATAATTACGACGTTATCACGCAGCCTCCTGTGGTGGTTAATCCCACTACGATTTCAGGATCATGTAATCCCGTACCACGTACTATCGTTAACTGGTACTTAGGACCGCCACGATCTCCATCATTGCGTCGTCAGTTTGCTCCGATGAGACATCAACGCATTTATACGGAGTACAAGTTTCCTTGGAATAGAGTCTATGGTGTATCACAGTACCGTGCTCGTCCACGCATTGCACCTCGAAGACAACAGATTGCCAAGTACAGATACGGAGCTTACCGGAGGGGAGGCGGTGCCGCCCAGGTCATGCGATATTTTTGGCGATTTTAATTTTATTTGGTTCAACTTAATACTAGTACACGATCGAAGTTTGACATATAAGATGGGCTTTATAATTACTTATAATTTATCTCTATTGAAAAGTTGCTTAGTGACTGGGGTTGTTGTATGTTAAATATTATTGCGAAAACTCCTCTCCCCCATAAGTAATGGGTTGTTTGAAATTTTTATTGTGTACTAAAACCAACTTAAGGACAAATGATTTTAAGTTGAACCAATGTGTATGGGTAATGGCACCCAGTTTTTTCGTTCTTCTATTTTGGCCATTTTGGGTAATATTTTAAATTATTTTCAAGTTTGAGACGTACTATAGTTGTTGATCCAAATCATATAATCCAGGTGGTCTTCAAAATCGCGAGAAAATTGAAATCAGTCATTTTTTGAGATGTTAGCTGTGGCTAAGTCTAGTATACCTTAAGAAAAATTGAGAAATGAGAGACAAAAACTAACTAATGATAGTCATGTTTCGGTTATAATCAATATGATGTATAAAACGTTTTTAAAATATGTGACAAAATACAATTTTCTATCTAAAACTGATCAAAATATGATGAAAAAAATAATAATGTGAGAGTTACGCAAAAACACTCGCGAACTTTTAGAACTTGGTGAAATATCGCCAATCTTTCCAATGTTATGCAAAATATACAAAGTGATGAAAATTTCTATCAAATGAACAAAAATTGTATAAAAAAAAAGAATAACTACCATGAGATGACAAAGTGCCTTAAACGTCCACCATGGTAAATTTTAACTTATTGTCATATTTTTATTATACACCCAAAAACACTCCCAATTTTGCATACATCTGTTTTGGATGCACGCAGATAAAGTGACTGAAGAAACAGTGATATTTGTTCACTGTTTCCACTCAAAACTGACGTTTACAATATGAAGCTCCTGCAAACTCAAAAGAACTGGTATAGTTTTTGCTTGATTTCAATATATTTAAACGTTTCAAGTGTATTTTGACAAATTTTCGAATTGTCTACTTCTTCTTCTAGGTTTTTTGTGCTTTTGATGCACCTTTATGTCGGCTACCAACTTAGTGTTCTAGATGCACTTCCTCAGTTATTAATTGAGAGCTTTCTAGCATAGCATTAATTTGTATATTGTGTGGCAAGCACAATGATACTCTATACCCAGGGAAGCCAAGTAAATTTCCAACCCGAAACCCAAGTAACACAAATTCATAGAATTATTCAAACTACTATACAACCAACGAAGGTTATATAAACTGTTATAGAACATGTGTGTCGCTTGCGAAAATTTCCCCGACCAGACCGGGAATCAAACCCGCCGTCTCCAGCTTGGTAAAATCGTGCCTTTACTGATCAACGGCTGTATTGTGCGATCACTATTAAAAATACGTGATTTAGTTCATTTCACGGCAGTTATTTTTTTCTATAAAAATGCGCAATTTTCAACTAACATAATCCTAAGCCATCGAAACTTCCTCAAAGTACCAAGGCTGCAAAATGCTTGTCGATTCATAGTTGACATGGCTGGTTCTTAGCAATGCAATGACCAAACGTTATGATTCAGCCACCAATCGAAAGAAATGGCTATCTTATTTTATTTTGAATAGATAGAAACTCAATTGGACCTGTGGTTGGCCAGCCGGAACAGAAAAACCCGGAAAAGTACCGAGCAAAATGCGTGTCGATTCATGTTGACATCACTGGTTCTCGGCAATTTGGTTACCACATCTTAAGATTGAGCCACTACTTGAAAGTTATGACTATCTACTTTCAAACGGAACAGACAAAGAACCGATTGGAGTTGTGGGTGGCCAATTGGAACGATAAAACCCGTGAAATTGCAAGATGGGTACATTTATAGAAGAGAAGGTTTTCTAATATTATCTTTACATGTGGGCGTGAAGGGTTATCCTATATCAACCACAACAGCATACTGATTTTCAAAATAAAAAAATTATATAGACCATCATTTGAGAATCTATCTTTTTTCGATTTACGTTATAAAATAATGTAACTAAAATATGAAAAGACCTACAAAAAATGGTTCAAGAGTGAATTGCACAAAATTTTCTTAATTTTCTTAAAACAATATATTACAAAATTCTCATCCAACACTAAAAAAACAACAATCATTGAAAAAAAAATCTGAAACTTTTTTTTTTGATAATTATGAATTTTGTTTTATACATAAAAATTTCTTCTTGAACATTTAAAAAGGGCGAAACTGCTTTTGTAAACAATGAATTATGCCGACGATTTATCGCGAATGAAAGCTCGTACATGCAAATTAACTATCTCATCAAGAATAGGAATACTTTGACTATATGTTTTTAGTATTACTTCTACGTGAAGTCAACGATTTACATAGTTGAAGATGCTAATTTCAAATAACAGGCTGTAGTGGTAATTTTTATACGATAGATGGAGTAGATGAAAGCATAGAGTTGATAGTTCCGTTAGAGTACGGCAGTGTGAAGATTGTATATAGATATTAGAATAGCGAACTAGGACAACTTTTAAGGAAGGTACAAATCGGTTTTTTCATCTCTCTTTACCAAACTCCCCCTTTGGAGAGGGATGGTGAGGGGTGTCCCCCCCCCCCCCAGTGGTGGCAACCAAGAATATGAATGTTTAGTTTACAGGAGTAAACTTTTAGTTGCAAGAAATCGTCGGTTGAAGTCAGTCTTTACAAAAGAAGCTCCCTAATGAAATCTTAGCAAAGATTTCAACTATCTACAAGTTGTTCATAAATTGCAAGATGGTTCTCTTATAGTAACAATGGTTTTTTTACTAACAACTTTTTCCTTACCTGCACGGTTGCATTTCCTTAGTTTGACCGTATTTTTTTTTAAAATTAGGGTAATCCTCAAATTAATTGCTATTCTAAAACTAACTTTTTGTTATTGAAAAAAGAAGACACCTGATCTTTGGCTGAGATGATTTCAAGCTTTCTTTATGAAACATATTTCTTCTATCAGTTAACGTTCTCATTTAAGAGTATTTTTTTTCTTAACTGATTTAAGGTTTTCTTGAAACATTGTTTTTTTTTGTGCTTCAATCTTTCCATTTCAAATTCCTTGTTAAAATAACTTTGAGATGATTTTTTGAGTATTTTAATAGGCACAAATAAAGTAAATAGATTAAAAAATAATCGATTTACACCGTCTTCAGCCAGAGACCTCCCTTAGCTCAGTCAGTAAAGGCACTGCCAAATAGCAGACCATGCTGGAGCCGGCTGGGTTCGAATCCAGGAAAAACATCTCGACTTTCCTGGACATAGAGTATGATTTTACTTGGCACACAATAAAACCAGTGAACAAAATGGCACATGCTTAGATTGCTCTCAATTAACAAGTATGGAAGTGTTCAAAGAACACTAAGTTGAGAGCCAGCGTAAAGTCCCAGATTTACGTAATAATAAAGCCAAAGAAGAGAGAGATCATCATTCAAACAAACGATAAATAGGTCTGCAATGACTATTGCCATTGGCTTGAAAATAGTTTTTAGACGAAACAAAGTGACACTAAATTCTTATTATATAAAGAATTACGGAAGAAATGTTTCCAATATCAAGGAATTAGAAGATTTTCATGAAATTTACATAAATTTTTAAAGAAACTACTTCTGTGTTTAGGCACTGCGCTGCATATTTCAAGAAATCTATTTCGGAATTTTTGCTGAAAATATGTTTCGCACAAGGATTTAAGTTTTTTAAGTACATTTACTATACTAACGTATAATCACGTAGAATGATAAACTCCTCATAGCTACTGGTTTTAATATCATCAATTGGTAAATATCCGTTTATTTTAACAATTATTCTGATATTTACGATAAACAGTGATCAATTGACTACCTGGTTTTATTATTTTTTGTTTGTGCCGAATTTTACAACAAAATAAACTTACACATTTGTGTTACCGTAAAACGGAGGGAAGTTGATCACTTTTTACCGATAAACATGAATATTTTCCCAACCATATGTTGGAACACAAACAAATACCACTCAAACCTGCACAATAAAACTTTTTTACGCAGTATTCAGTTTACGTCCTTCTTTTTACGAATAAAGTCCCAAATAACGAGGTTTTTTTTTAACGAAGCAAATCTAAATAACGAGTTTGCGATTCTGGGAAACAGATAAATACTGTAAAATACCCCACAATATGGGAATTTTTGGAATCGAGGCGACGCGTAGGGACTGGAATTAGATGTCCGACACTATTTTGAAATCCAAGATGGTGGCTTCTGGTTACAGAAAAACTGGGAAGTATCACCCCGATTCCAAAATATCTATATTTCCTAGTTTTTCTGTAACCGGAAGCCGTCATTTTGGATTTCAAAATGGCGTCAGACATCTAATTCCGGTTTCTACACGTTAACCCAATTCCAAAAATATTCATACTGGAGGTATTTCACAGCATTTCTCTGTTTCCCATCTGTTTTAAAATGGCGTCAGACATTACCGGTCCCTACACTTCACCCCGATTCCAAAAATACCCATATGTGGGGTAGTTGGCAGTGTTTTCCAGTTTTGCTGTAACCTGAAGCCACCATCTTGGATATAAAAATGGAATCAGACATGGAATACTGGTCCCACTCACGCCACCTTATTCCAAAAATACCCACGTTGTGGTGTATTTGGCGGTATTTCCCAGTTTTTCTGTAACTGGAAGCCGACATCTTGGATTTTAAAATAGTCTCAGACATGGATTTCCGGTCCCTACACGTCAATCCGATAAAAAAAAACCCATATTGTGGAGTATTTGGCAATATTTTCAAAAAACTAATTTTACGAAGTAAATCCCAAATAACGAGGTTTTTTACGAAGTAAATCCCAAATAACAATTTTTTAAAGCAAAATGATTAGATTTACAAATCCCCAGTTTGGTTCGGCAATGGAGGTTCCAGTGTACTAGCAAATGCTTTTCTAATGTACACACTAAGATTAATTTACCGAAATCTGTCAAATTTTACCGAAACCTCAACAGCTGAACGTCCAGTGGACAGTTCGTTGATTTTTCACAGATTTTCTGTGATTTTTCACAGATATTCGTTGAA